CGTAAAGATTACAGCCAATGAAACCCCATGGAGCATGCTGTTCCACTCGTAACATGAGTTGTCATGGGTTGGAATCACTTCGATGGCAACGAACAACAACATACGTACGTCAAAACTTATTAAATTGTACGTTTTAAATACAATGTAGTTTATTATCTGTTTATTATACCTTAATGACATACCAAGTTAAATAAGACGCAGTCCCTGCCTTCATGAAGTTGTTTTGGAGGAAAACAGACATAGAGGCCAAAGGCTTACCACTCATTTAACATCTGGAAGTTTGCACTAGTTATTAGACTCACACACACGCATAAACATATACATACACACACACAAATAGCAGAATACAAATATAAACAGCTTGTCTCTAATCGTTAGGGTGAAACAGTTGAGAATAATCTAAACTTACACATAACTCTACATCAAGAAAGGAAGAAAAATATTTGGAGATGGGTTCTTATTGAGGAGAAAAAAGCGTAATGAGGGAAATTTCCGGAGTAAAAATTGCTTTTAAAAAAAACATTGTTTATATCTTAGTTTATATATCGGGATTTGTGTGTGTATTTTTTATTTTAAAAATTTTTAAATTTTATTTAGTTTGTCATTGCTTTGTTGAGAATATATGTGGCAAAATATACACCAACAGTTTCTGCATGTACAATTCAGTGACATTGACATTGACTGCATTCTTTGAGTTGTGAAACCATTCTCACCCTCTCTTTCTGAGTTGTTTCTTCCCCATTAACACAAACTCACTGCTCCCTAAGGTTCCCATCTAATCTTTCTAGTTGCTGTTGTCAGTTTGATCCAATATAGATAGTTCTTAAAAGAGCATAATGCTCAAGGCTGATATTTTTTACTAGTTAAGCTAAACTATTGTTTGGTTTTAAGAAGACATCAGGTGATATTTTTGGTTTAAGGTTTAAAGACTATCTCAGGGCAACAGTGTCAGGGGTTCACCCAGCCTCCATGGCTCCAGAGACTTTGGAGTCTATGAGAATTTGAAATTCTCTTCTATATTTTCTCCCTTTTGATCAGGATTCATCTATAGAATCTTTGATCAAAATGTTCCCTACTGGTAGCCAGGCAGCATCCAGTTCTTCTGGTCTCATGGCAAAGGAGACAGTTGTTCATGGAGGCAATTAGCCACACATTCCATATCCTTCTCCTATTCCTTACTGTCCTTCTTTGTTGGTGCTGGTGAATATAGACTAATTGTGCATTGGGATTTTAATATTGTACAAAATTGTGTCGGGCAGAAACAGTCAATATTTAGTGAAGCCCACCAGAGCATAATGTTTTATACTCAGAGTGAACTAGATTAGATTTTTTTCTCACAGATTTGTTCCCTTCCTACCTTTCCAGTATTGTTTCTTGCAGCTCTGCCTTCTCCCACCCCACCCTGCAGTTTATGGTTTAATGGCAGAACGCTGAACAGATTCACCTTCCTGCCTCTTGCTTCCGTGCCTTTGCTCATATTCTCTTTGCCAAGATGGTTCCATCTTTTGCCCCTAACCCACCCTGGTTAACTCCTACTTGTTCTTTACACCTCAGCTCAGATATCACCTCTTCCATAAAGCCTTCCCTGAAGAAGAAGAATGCTTAAAGATCCATCCCTTAAAATCCAAGGCACAAAAATTGATCTCTATTTACCTAGAGCAACAGAGGAAGAAGGACAGTCAGGAATAGGAGAAGGATATGGAATGTGTGGCTAATCACCTCCATGAACAGCTGCCTCCTTTGCCATGAGACTAGAAGAACGGAGTGGTACTCAGCTACTGTTACTGAACATTTTGATCAAAGATTCCATAGAAGAATCCTGATCAAAAGAGGGAAAATGCAGAACAGAATTTTAAAATATCATAGACTCCAGACTTTCTGGAGCCTTGGAGGGTGGATGAACGCCTGAAACTACTGCCCTGAGATAATCTTTAAACCTTAAACCAAAAATATCCCCTGAAGTCATCTTAAAACTGAACAATAGCCCTGGTAGTGCAAGGGTTAAAGGGCTTGGCTTCTAACTGAAAGATCAGCAGTTCAAACCTACCAGCGGCTCCAAGAGAGAAAAGACTTAGTGGTCTGCTCCCATAAAGAATTACAGCCTAGAAAACCCTAGGGGCAGTGCTACTCTGTCATATAGGGTCACTACAACAGCACCTAACAACAACAGTAAAAAATGTGGGCCTTGAACATTATGTTCTTTCAAGAACTATCTATATGGGGTCAAATCGACAACAGAAACTGGAAAGATTAGGTAGGAACCCTGGGGGGCAGTGAGTTTATGTTAAGGAGGGAGGAACAACTCAAAAAAGGAGAGTGAGAATGGTTGCACAACTCGAAGGATGCAATGATGGTTCAAATTATCTTACATGTTTGTAACGTTAGAGTTAAATTTAGCCAAGAGATGAAATTTACATTTGGGGAAATAATAACAATAATTAGAGTGAGATAGCTCTGGAGTTCAAGTCCTCTGCTGTATTCACGCCAAGGCTACTTTCCCCAGGCTGCTCCCGGCCAACTACTGTGCATGGTGGGGCCACTACAACCTGGTGATTCCAGCTCAGCATGGGACTCCTCTAGCAGGCAAGCTTTGCTGTGGGGTTCCCCATCACACTGGCTGAGATTTTCTCAGATCTACACTGCAGTCTGAGTCTCCTCCTACTCAAGCCTCCTTCCTTTCCACCCACTTCACAGGTGTCAGACCGGGGCATCACAATCTGCTTAGTTTTGCTCCCCCTCTTGTTTAACTTCACAGGTATTTCCCTCAATAAATCTATTGCACTTCTAATTCCACCTTGACATCTGCTTCTTGGAAGACCTGAACTACACATATCTTCAAAGGGTTATTATGAAGGTTAAATGAAATAATTCATGTAAAGTGCTTGGCATTGTGTTGGATTTATAGCAAAATTTCACTAAAAACTAATTGTTAAAATTTCGACAAAGAATAAACTTGAAGGAATCATGCTGGTCAACTTTAAGACTTACTATATAAAGAGCCCTGGTGGTGCAGTGGTTAAGCATTCAGCTGCTAACCGAAAGGTCAGCAGTTCAAATCCACCAGCCACTCCTTGGAAAGCCTATGGGACAGTTCTACTCTGTCCTGTAGGATAACCATGAGTCGAAACCAACTCGACGGCAGTGGGTTTGGTTTTTTTTGGTTTATAAAGCTACAGTAATCACGATAGTGGGGTACTGACAAAGGAATATAGAAACAAAGGTCAATGCAACAGAATAGAGAGTCCAGATATAGCCCCACATGTATATGGCCAGTTTATTCTGACGAAGGTGCAGAAGCAATTCAATGAAGAAAGGATAGTCTTTTCAACAAATGGTGCTGGAAAAACTGGACATAAATAGGCAAAAAATGAACCTTGACCTTGACCTAACTTCACAACTTATACAAAACTTAACTTAAAATAGATCATAGATCTAAAAATAAAACCACAAAACTTTGAGGAGAAAATATTTGTAACCTAGGGTTAGCTCTTAGAGATTATACCACATAAGCATGACCCATAAAAGAAAAAATTGATACATTAGGCTTAATCACAGTTAAAAACTTTTGTCTGTGAAAGATACTGTTAAGAGAAGGCAGAGATAAGCTACAGACTAGAAGATAATATTTGCAAATCAAATATTAAACAAAGGACTTATATCTAGAATATGTAAGAACTCTCAAAACGCAACAGTAAGAAAACAAACAACTCAATTAAAAAACAGACAAAAGAACTGAACGATATTCACCAAGGAGAATATAAAGATGGCAAATGAGCACCTGAAAAGATGTTCAACATCATTAACCATTAAGGAAATGCAAATTGAAATCACAAGGAAATACCACTGTGCAGCTAACAGAATGGCTAAAATAAATACAATACCAAGTGCTGATAGGATGAAGAGCAAATGAAACTGTCATACATAGCTAATGGGAATGCAAAATAGTACAGTCACTTTGGCAGTTTCCTGTAAAGTTATATATAGACTTACCATATGACCCAGCAATCCCACTCCTGGGTATTTACCCTGGAGAAATGAAAACCTGTGTTTACACAAAAACTTGTACAAAAATACTTACAGCAGCTGTATTTTCAATCATCAAAAACTGAAAACAATCCAGATGTCCTTCAACAGATGAATGTATAAACTGTGGCATATGTGTGCAACAGAATACTACTCAGTAATGAAAAGGAGCAAAGTATTAACAAATGCAACAACTTGGGTGATTCTCAAAGGCATTATACTGACTACAACAAAAGATTATGTACTTTATGATTTCATTTATATGGCATTGTCTAAAAGAAAAAAACTATAACACTATAAATAACAGTTGTGATTCTGACTCATGATGACCCCATGTGTTTCAGAGTAGAACTGTGTTCCATAGAGTTTTTAATGGCTGTTATCTTTGGAAGTAGATCACCAGGGCTTTCTTCCGAGTGGATTCAAACTGCCAACCTTTTGGTTAGTAGCCAAGTGCTTAACTGTTTGTGTTACCCGGGGACTTGACAAAACGATAGTGATGGCAAACTTATCAGTGGCCAGGGGTTAGGGATGAGAGGAGGGTATGACTGTAAGGGGCAGCATGAGGAACTTTTCTGGGGAGATGGAATTGTTCTTGACTGTGGGGGTGGTTATACGAATCATACGTGTGTTAAAACTCATAGCACTGTATACCAAAAAAAGTCAATTTCACAGTGTGATAGTTTAAAAAATAAAATTAATTTCAAAACTAATTATTGATGTAATAAATATTGATATCTTTGAATGTATATTATGTAAATAATGGTTGTCCTTGATTGGTCTCTAATTATTTTATGTATTCCTAGTGTTCACTTCCCCTACCCTACTAACTCTCCCACTCAGCCCGTGCCAACCCTCCTTTACTGTGTTCTGAAATCTCATTCAATCCTATAGTCAGACTAGGGAGATTTTGTTCAGAAAATTAGTTCAGCAAAGGATAGCAACAAAATACTTTGAAGATTGCATAGTCAATTTACCTGCAGATAATGATGGCGATGATGATGATGATGATGATGATGATGATGCTGTCAATCATGATAACAGTATTCTGAAATTCCAAAGCCTTTCTCAGTGGTTCATTCATGTAGGAAGAGCCTAACAGACATCATTAACAGTAACTCCTCTCCTTGGCATGAAAGTCAGCAAGTCATGGCTAAAAATGTGGTCAGGATTCCCTGGGCATGCCCAGAATGACCCATCAGTGTGACTTTGAAGGACGGAAGGATTCTTTCTGCTTCGTGGGAGGACTCTCAATAGGTCTGCACAGGAAGTGAAAGCCACAGAAATAACTCTATGCGGCTTGGTCCCTCTCCTTTTCACTTGTCACTTTCTAATCAAGTTCTAACTCGTCATCAGTAGCTGACCCTGTTTCTAAAACATGGGCACTCTTGGCTACCGGGTGCCCACTGAATGGCAGATGTTTGGCCCTGGTCAAGTGGAGAAACAATAAAGGCTGGCATGGAAGTACCCACGACATCAGTTATGTGTGGCAAATATATGCATTGACCACCGTCCACCCTTTGTGTTGTCAGTTTTTCTCCAAAGCGTTCCCCTTTCCCTGCCCCCCACAGGACTGCTCTGAGGTAAAATTTCCTAAATAAGGCTAATGATTGTCTAGTGGAATGCAAGATTTCACAAACCTTATTTATTTCCTGGCAGTTCATCCACAGTTTTTAAGTTCACCAAGGCTTTTGTGTGTGACTTTTGTGTGTACAGAGAACTCTGAGGTTGTCCCACTTAATGATATTATTCCGAATTTTGCTGAGGTGATCAGGCATTCTTAGGACAACACATGCCTGAAGTGCTTTCTCCTAAAGAACCACACTGGCATCCAAAGAAATAATTAAACGACGCTGAGATGCTGTCTTTTATTTACCAAATTGGCAGAAAATAAAAAAATGATCTTGTTTACACCCTCACTCTGCAAGTTCGTGGCTTGACTGGACTAATCTCCAGGGCCCCGTCTCCAGCCAGTGTCCTCTGCCTATCCCACACAAGCTCATGTTTTACTTTGCTAATGTTAATTTACTATTATTTAATAAAGTTTACTACTTTTTCCATTATAAAAGCAATATGAGCTCAGTACAGAATTCTCACCTTCCGTGCAGGAGACCCAGGTTCAATTCCTGGCCAATGCCCCTCAAGCACAGCCACCGCTCGTCTATTGGTGGAGGTTTGCGTCTTGCTATGATGCTGAACAGGTTTCAGGGGAGCTTCTAGACTAAGATGGACTAGAAAGAAAGGCAATCACCTTCAGAAAACCAGCCAGTGAAAACCCTCTATATCACAATGATCTGATCCCATTGGGCATAGTATCTCCATGAGCTGGAAGCTGAGTCAATAGCAGCTAACAACAACATAGAAAACATATAAAATACCAAAAGATGCAAAGAAGCAAAACTCACAGAAAAAAAAAAACCCAAACCTGTTGCATTGAATTAATTCTGAATCATAGCAACCCGATAGGGCAGAGGAGAACTGCTCCATAGGGTTTCCAAGTCTGTAATCTTTACGAAGCAGACTGTCACATCTTGCTCCTGCAGAGCGGCTGGTGAGTTGAAACCACTGACCACTTGGTTAGCAGATAAGCACTTAAGCACTGCACCGCCAGGGCTCCCTCACCCATAGATAATCACTATGAAAATGTCGACATTTCTCACAACGTTTTTTGGTAAGCAGTGTTTAGCCAATTTTTAAATAAAGGTGACATTAAATATAGTATTCTATTGCTTACTTTTATTTTCACTTACCATCTTACCAAACACAGCCTCCTACTATCATTCACTTCATTTAAGCAGGACGGTATTCAGATCAACAATCCTTAGCCCAAATGATAGTTTTAATGTCTTGTCATAAGAAATCACACCACCTATGGCTGCGCAGTTGCCAGGTTAAATGCTGTTAAAGCCTTTGCTGTCTCTCCAGCCTTTGCCCTAGGGAGCTCTGGGGAGAGAGAGAATCAACATTTACATGGGTTTTTCACTTCTGTTGAAGAGCTTTGTGGCTAGCAAACCTCACCTGCCCTTAAAGAGCCTCTTGAGATCCAATACCATGTTTCTTAGAGAATCTAAAATGAGTTCATGCAATACCCTGGCATCCTTCCAGCAACTCCGCAACGCAAGGAGGAGATACACATCTGGTTCTAGTGTTACCATCCTTATTAAACCCTAATTTCTTCTCTGGAATAACACCAGCTGCCACAGTTTAGAGTTTTGTTTTCTAAAGCCCTCCTCAGTGTTTCCTGGAATACCCAAGAAAAACAAACACCCATTTGCTACAGTCTTTCAAATCTGCTTCCTGTGGAATAATGACAACAGAGGATTCCAACAGCTCCACAAAGTCTCAGAAGTTACATAAACCATTTCAATCTCATTCAGACTTGTGCTCCAGAATCAAGGAGCAATCACAAGAGAAAACTTCCCTGAACAACCAAAGACAATGCAGAAAAGCACCAAGCATCTGAGTTTACAACTATAGATATTTTTTCTTTTCTGAATTTTATTTCTTTTGTTGTTGTTGAGAACATACACAGCAAAACATACACCAATTCAACAGTGTCTACACATACAATTTAGTATAAAAAAAGCTTAAAAAAGAATATCTCAAGGTTGATAGAGTTAGAGCGGTTTTCTGCTCTGGTAACACCTGAATTTTAATACAGTTCCATGTAGTGCTTTACGTGATGGCATTTAAGTCCATTTCCCTGGATAGAGCTAGGGAACTGGACTTGGGATCTATTTCTTGCCCTGGCTTCTTGTTCATTGATGTTTGTTCCCTTAATATTGTTGCTCCATCCCCTTCTTCCTCTCTTATCCCTCCCTACAAATTTCTTCGAAGATGAGCGTCACTATCCACTTTTTCTCCTCCTTACATAACAGAGGCCTGATATCTTCTGCTTTGTTAAGACATCGCAATTAGTATCTCTTTAATGGATGCTCCCATTTATCATTTGTAATAAAGTGCTAAAAATGAGGCAGCCTGTATGCAGTGGTGGCGCAGTGGTTAAGCACTCAGCTACTAACCAAAAGGCTGGAGGTTCGAATCCACCAGCCGCTCCACAGGAGAAAGATGTTGCAGTCTGCTTCTGTAAATATTTACAGCCTTGGAAACCCTGTGAGGCAGTTCTACTCTGTCCTATAGGGTCACTATGAGTTGGCATCTACTCGATGGCAATGGGTTTGGTTTTTGATTCTATGCAATGTCTATAATTGACTGGGAAACTGATCACTGGACTTTGAATACTCTAGGTGCATCCCCCTTGAACATTTTAGAGCATCTCAGCTTGTTTGAGATGTTTTTAGTGTGTAAACATGCATACTGAAAAGCAGCTGGCATATCAAGAACCTTTTCTCCACTGATTTTTCACTGATCTTTCTAATCTTTCTAGGAAAAGAAACCATGACTAATCTAACAGGTATTCCTTTTAGCAATAAAAATGATAGCATTGACTTAAATGCATACATTCTCTTTATTTTGGAGTTTGTGTTCTACTTTTAATACTTAAATCTTTCTGAGAGGGAGGTAGGGACAGTGATATCACCTCCATTTTACAGATGAGAGAAGCATGTCCCAGAAATTTGAAGTGACATCCAAGGCAGAGCTGTGATGAAAATCTAAGTTTTATGACTTGAATCACATGCTCCCGTCTCTACACATGAAAGTCTGTTTACAGCATCATAATATGTAAACATAGAACATATACAAATCTTTTTAAAAAAGTAAATAGTTGACAGAAGATTTTGAGTGTTTGTGAACATGGTACATGCAAGACATACACATGATTATGTGCGAACCCAGTCACTCACGCTAATGAGAGAGCGACCCAGAGAAAGGTCAGAGATAGTTGAATGAATACATGAATGAAGAATGAGGGCCTGCCCCAGCCCCAGGCACAGCAGCCACTGCCAATATAGAGACTCTAAGGGCAACCACAGGGTTCTGCCTGCTCCAGAACATCTCCTCCTATGTCGTGATGTCACATGTCCCTTCCACTTACTCTGACAGAAGGAGCCCTGATGGCACAGTGGTTAAGTGCTCAGCTGCTAACTGAAAGGTCAGCAGTTTAAACCCACCAGCCACTCCATGAGAGAAAGATGTGGCAGTCTGCTTCTGTAAAGATTACAGTCTTGGAAACCCTATGGGGCAGTTCTACTGTGTCCTGTAGGGTCACTGTGAGTTAGAACTGACTTGATGACAATGGGTTTGGTTTTGGGCTTTTGCCCCGCTAGCTCTGCCACGCAGCCTCTGCTAAGAGTCAGACAGCCAGGGTAGACGGTTTTCCCCAGCCCTGGGTAAAATTCACTTTTATGATCTGGGAGGAAATGGAAATGGTGGGTTAGTCCTTTCCAGTGAGCAGATTTATACCCATTCAATTCATTCAGAAAATATATTTATTCTCCTCTGTTCTCTTCCCATGTCACCACCCCTATCATTTAACTTACCACAGTGTTTACGTGCCTGTCTCCTCTGTTATTGTGTGAGCAACATGATGTTGGGAATGCGCTAATTCACTGTAAAGTGCCTATTACAGTTCCTGGTATAGTCTGCACTCATTAAGTAATTGTCCAAATGAAGGAATAAGAACTATATGCTCATCATTAGGTCTAGGTTTTCTTGCGTTTAGGTGATGGTAATGATGACGATGCTATTAGTTAACATTTGTCAGTACTTACTATCTGCCAGACTCTGCCACATCTTTTACACACACAATCCTTTTTAATCTTCTCCAGCCCTTATGAGGTAGAAATTTTCACTAGTCACTGTGAAACAGTAGTAGTAACAGCAGTAGCATCAGAACCTGTCTAACTTTAGGGAGGATAATAAGACTCAAGATCAGCACAAAGCTGATTCCCGTGAGGTGAAGGTCAGACATACCTCCACTCTCCAATCTTTTTACCAGTTCTGACACCAGCTGTCCCTCCCACAGCACTACTTCTCTTCCGGGTTCGATAATTCATTGGAATGGTCACACAGAACTCCCAGACCATACTTACAGTTAAGTGGTTTATTAAGGAAGTAACAGGCTACTGCTCAGGATCAGGATCAGGAAGCATACAGGCAAAGTCTGGAAGGCTCTCCCGAAGTGGAGAGCACATCCCTCCCTTCTTTAGTGCAAGACAGCTCTCTCAGCTTCTCTTAGCCATGCATGCAAGCAAGCAGGCCCTTATCTCTGCCATGCATGCCCCCTCTTAGCTGTGCAGGCCTCCTCTCAGCCTCCTGCCGACAGGCCTCCTCTCAGCCCCCTGAGGACAGGCTTCTTGGCCCCCTCAGGACAGGCTTCTCTGCTTCCACCTCCACGCTGTGAACTGACCCAGCTCGTAGCCAGTGTAGCAGTTTTCTTCAGCTCTCTTTGGCTGCACTCCTGGCAGCAGGTTTCTGCCATCACCATCAACTGCTGCAGGGCCCCTTCTGGGCCTACTGCCACTGACTGTGCTGCAGGGCCCCTTCTGTGTCTTCAGTGTTACAGCCCTTGACCTGTGTTATAGCTCTTTTAGGAGGTTCCTTGCCTCACCTCTCTTCTTTCTTCCTTCTGCTTTTGTCTACCGACCTCTGTGGGGTTGCCTGAATAGATAAGCAAACTCCTCAACAATTTCAAGGCATGGCCCTCCCACCAGGGCCACAAACTGGCCAATCCCTTCTTGGAAGGCCACAGACACTTCATGTGCATAGTAGGCTACAGCCATTCCATTTGCATAGTCTATCCCTGCAACCTGTTGCCATCCAGTCAATTCTGACTCATAGCGACCCTATAGGAGAGAGTAGAACTGCCCCATAGGGTTTCCAAGGAGCGGCTGGTAGATTCTAATTGCCAGCCTTTTGGTTAGCAGCCATAGGTCTTAACCACTATGCCACCAGGGTTCTAGTCCCTGCAAGGTACATACAAATCACAGGGTAGGCTATAGCCCAGGGCCAGACAAAAAGTATCAAACCACAAATTGTTTACAGTTTCCCCAGGAAACCTCAATCAAACTGTACAAAAGTAACAAACCCTCTGGGGTAGAAAAGAAGGGCAAAAGTAACTCCTCAGAGCTTAGGGGAAAAATCTTTCCATCAGTTTTTCCAAAGAACCAAGGCAAAAGGACACATAAAGAAACTCATTTCACCATAGTTACACACACAGATTAGGAAATTGAGGCCCAATCGGGTTAAATAATCTGCCTAAAACCACATGGTGAGTATGTGGCAGAATCATGTCTGTTCGACTCCAGAGTGAATTGTCTTAACTTCTTCACTATTCTGCTGGCCATACTGCCTAAACCAGGAAGCCAATGTGTGGTCCTGACCGTGGTCTTTGAAAGAGGATAGAACAGATTCCCTGGAAATCTGGAAACCAAGTCACCTTAGCTATGGGGAAAAAATGTAGAAGGCAGAGTTCCTTCTTCAAGGAGCTTACAACTGTAATAAGGAGATGAGACCAACACATATATTAATGAGAGAGTAACCAGACACAAGAAACTGTCTAGATAGCCACTCATTCATCCATGCCATACCTCCACTAGTTGGTGAGGGTATGCTATGTGCTCCACCCTATGCTATGTGCTTTACATCTGTTATCTTAATCATTCTTCTTGGCTGCTAACCAAAAGGTTGACGGTTCAAACCCACCCAGCAGCTCCATGGTACTATGGCTATGTGTATGTCTTATAACTCGCATTCATTCATTCATTTAACAAACATTTACTTGCCACCTACCATAAACTGTTATTCAAGACAGAAATGATCCTCTGTTGTGTTTGAGCCTTTTTACGTTTTGGGGTCAATTTGTTATTGGAATCTAGGCTACCCCAAGTAATATAACTAAGCTTGAGAATGCAACTTTGAATGGGAGCCATGGACGGTAGGTTACTAAAGGGCAAGGCATCTTCTGTCTAGCAGATTCCTTGTTATTTGGGTTAGATCATCTGTAAGGCTTTCAGAATCTAGGAACCCTCTCAACAGGAGGAGGGCCCCACAGGTGACATTTTAGTTCAGCCTCCCCTCACTCTTTTTTCCTCCACCCTTCATTGACCCTCCCCACCAACT